CAAGAGATTAGAAGCCCCCCCACTGTTGCCCCCCCCCCCAAGCACCAAGAAGACAGAGCATCACTTGCCCCAGACTGAGAGTTCCTATCTGTACCTTGTGGCTCATAGCCACCGATGGACCTCTGCTCCATATCCTTATCCGATTCCCTCTTGAAGCCGTCCAGGCTTGTAGCCGCCACCACCTCCTGCGGCAGTGAGTTCCACGTGTTAAATCACTCTTTGGGTGATTTGGAGCCACTTGTCCACCTCCTCTATTTGTGTGCCACCCTGGAGCATGCCTTTAAACAAACCTTTAAAAATGATTTTAAATGATTTTAAAACACATTTTGTGGATAAATTCCTGTGGGCTGTGCCTTTAAGAGCGGGCACCCTGAAAAGCCCTACTGTAGCTATGGGCCTGCTTGGGTCACAGTGTGCTTCAGTTACTCTTACTTTGGATCCTCAAACAAAGCTGATAACATATTGTGGGGGAAAGCTAGACTAGAGTCCAGGAGTTCCTTAGTGGTCAGGCTGGAGCAACTGATGTTCTGCATTCTTGGTGCTGGGGGGGGGAGCAACAGTGGGAGGGCTTCTAGTGTCCTGGCCCCACTGGTGGACCTCTTGATGGCCCCTGGCATTTTTGGCCACTGTGTGACACAGAGTGTTGGACTGGACGGGCCGTTAGCCTGACCCAACACTGGCTTCTCTTATATTCATATGTCCTTATTCTCAGAGTATGAGCTTTCCAATCCAGAGTAGAGATGTAAAATTTCCGGAAATTTTGAAGCTCGGAATAAACCTCGGTCTTTTTCGAGGGAAAATGGAAATTTTTGGAAAAATTGAAAAAAATGCCACATTAGCACTTCTTTTTTTTCCAGATTGAAAGTCATTCTGTTACTTTAGGAACATTTTTTTTTAACTTGGCATGAAATTATCACAGCTAGCCTATTAAAAATAGAGTGTATCCAAACAATTATTACAAACAGAATACCCACCCACATGCAAAAACGAAACTGAAACCCTTTTCTTTTCTTGTGACAATAGCACCTCCTAAAGGAAGAAATGCATCTTGTTCTTGCATTGGAGAGTTCAGTTGGTAACCTAGGACTTGCTTGTCCTCGGTGCACAGAAATTAGATCAATCTGATACCATACGTATTTTTTTAGAAATGATTTGGAAAATATCTGAACACCTTGTCTTAAAATATTTTATTCATCACGTTAAAATAAAATATTCCGTAATCATTTTTTTCCCCCTTTTCTCTTCTTTTTTCAATTTTTCCAGTTTTCCGGGGAAAAACCAAAAAAGGCTTCGGGGGGAAAACGTTTGTTTCCAAATCTTTCCGGTTTTTCCCCGGGCCTTCACATCTCTAATCCAGAGTCAAAACTCCCTTCATCAGATAGGGACCGCCAGTCCTACTTATATCTGACGAAGGGAGTTTTGGCTCTCGAAAGACGCGACGCCAAAAATCTTGTCGGGCTCTACGGTGCTGCTGGACTCGAATCGAGCTCTTCTGCTGGAGACTGACACGCCTCCCTCTGTGTAAGGGATGAGGCCTGAATGAGCCTATAATTTACTGATGATTGGAAGGGGGTCATAAGTTTGACAGGATCCATCCTTGGAGGAGGAAGGTAGCCTGGTGGGGGTAATTGCCGGCAGCTGCAAGAGTCGGTTATCTCAAGGGAGTGGCAGTAGCCCAGGAGAGAGATGCTTATGAACCTTTCAGGAGGCACCAGAGTATCCTTGGACATCAAGTTGGTAAGCTGGAGATGGAACTGGATGCTGCTCTATGGTGATTTACGACTGAACTGTCTATGAGGACTGGTCAGAAGCTGCAGCTTCCCTTTTCAGAACTGCCAACGTGCCTTCGCATTTCAAACGTTTTGCTGCCAACTGCTCATAGGTTGGATGATTTCCGCACTGCGTACATCCTGAGTGTCTGAATGTTTTTATTCAATTAAATGAAATGAGTTTTTTAAGGATATCTGCTGTGTGCTGAGAGTTTCCTGTCCGCTGGCTAGCTGCAATCTTATCTGCTGAAGCGAACCCCAAGGTCGGTTGGACCTGACACTCTGAAACAAAGATTTTTCAGGGTATCGGCTTTTGAGAATCAAAGCGCCCTTCGTCAGATAGGGGGCCTCCATTCCGACGTGTATCTCATGAAGTTAGCTCTGACTCTCGAGAGCTCATACCCCCAAAAAACCTTCCATGGAGATAGGTCAAGACGGGTAAGCTGTGTCAATCCGTCTGCCGCAGCAGAATCCAGTAGCACCTTCAAGACTTTACAAAAAAAATGTGACAGGGTAGGCGCTTTCATGAGTCTACCGGATCCTACTTACAGGAAGCAATGCACAATAGAATTGACCACAGTCCCAGTTTGGTGCCGTGGTTAAGTGCACGGACTCTAATCTGGGAGAACCGGGTTTGATTCCCCACTCCTCCACTTGGCACCTGGCTGGACGGCCTTGGGCAAGCCGTAGCTCTGATAAGAGCTGTTCTGTCATGAGCAGTTCTTGAAAGAGCTCTCTGAGCCCCACCTGCCTCACAGGGTGTCTGTTCTGGGGAGGGGAAGAGGAAGGAGTTTATAAGCCGCTCTGAGACTCCAAGCAAAGGCCGGGGTATAAATCCAATCTCCTCCTCCTCCTCCTCCTTTTTCTTACCTTTTATCCAAGCATCCCTTTTGTTCAGCACAACCCGGTAACCTGTGCAGGAAAGCCCTCTCCATATAGTTCAGTTTTGCATAGTCTGCAGAATCTGGGAGTGGAAACAAAAGGCCTGGTTTTCACCGTGGGGGTTGTCTGCGCTGAGCCCCTTCCGACTGCAGGTGTGGAGTTTGCACATGATATGTATTCTTCCTGCAGATGAAAATTTCCCTGCAGGGGGAAAACTAGGTGCTTCTGTCCTACCCTTCTCCCTGACATGCTAGTTTTCTACAAGTGGGGTCTTTCTAATGGAAAGGGGGGGTTCTGTCACCTAAGGAGCTCCCACCTGTCTTGGCCAGTTTGGTGTAGTGGTTAAGTGCACGGACTCTAATCTGGGAGAACTGGGTTTGATTCCCCACTTCTCCACTTGCACCTGGCTGGATGACCTTGGGCAAGCTGTAGTTCTGATAAGAGCTGTTCTTGAAAAAGAGCCATTTCTGCCAGAGCTCTCTCAGCCCCACCTACCTCCCAGGATGTCTGTCGTGGGGAGGGGAACGGAAAGGAGTTTGTAAGCCGCTCTGAGACACCTTTGGGTAGTGAAGGGTGGGGTATAAATCCAATCTCTTCTGTTTTCTTCTTCTTCTTCTTGGCATTGAGTATTCACGGCATTCAATGTCCCAAGCCTTTGTTTTCTTGCCCCAGGGACTCAAGCGACTTACACCCGTCCGACGGTGAGCCCGTCCCTCGGGACACGCTTGACCGGCACGCCGGGGGGCGCCACGTACGTCAAGACCACCAGCGGCAGCATCATCACAGTCGTCCCCAAATCGCTGGCCACCCTCGGAGGGAAGCTGATCAGCAGTAACATCGTTTCCGGTAGGGATTGGCAGATATCGCCGTACAGTGTCAGACAAGGCATAAAAGAGATAAAAACTCTCAGACGCAATAAGTCCTTTATCAGGCTTTTATTGGAAGTCAGAAAAGTTGCTTTCAAGTCAATTCCTTTGACAGAAGTGAGGGACATTACACAGTTGGAAACTACAAGACCTCTGGTCCAGCCGTCATACACATGTAATGGTTACATATTCATTATGCAGGTTAAGACAGTTCAGTTAACATGGTGAGCAATGTTCCCTCTAAGCTATGGAGTCTTGTGAGCAAAAATTCTTCTTTGTGAGCTACTAGCCTTAAAGTTCTGAGCGAGTTATTTGGTTACTGCATCAGATAGTTTGCTCTGGAGCCATCCTTTCTGCGCTAAGACAAAAATGTGTGAGCTGGAGGGTAAAAAACTGTGAGCTAGCTCACACTAACTCAGCTTAGAGGGAACACTGACATTGGTGAGAATGTCTATCAGTTGCTACTCCCTTGAGGCCATGAGAAACACGAAAAGCGAAAAGTCTCTCGCAGCCCACACGGGGGAGTGGAATACTTCACAGGGTTCCGTAAGGACAACTATCTACGTTCACACAGGCCTGTCTCAATCTCTCCCCTCGAGGAAAATGCAGCTCTTAAAGGGAACCGTCGAATCCCTCTCTGGGGACTCTGCCTCGGTCTGCCATGCCCATTCGGTGAGGGATGGAAGAGGAATCGACGAGGGCATAGAATCAGATAAGTTAGAAAGGGAATCAGTTCCCCTACAGAAGCGATAGGGATGGAAACACTTGGCCCCTCGGGCTTACTTAGAAGTGGGGGGTGTACTATCACCCACCTTAATCAAACCCTTAAGGCTGATCTTGAGGTGGAGAAGGAAAGAAGGGAGGTGACCAAAGCAGGCAATAGAACAAAATTTGAGTCCAGTGGCACGTTGAAGACCAACAAGTTTAAGTCTGGGTATAAGCTTTCATGCGCGTGCACTTCTTCAGAAGTGTGCCTGCACACGAAAGCTCATACCCAGGATTAAACTTGTCGGTCTTAAAGGCGCCACTGGACTCAGACTCTGGTTCAGTTGCTTCAGACCAACTCGGCTGCCCTCCTGAATCTAAAGCAAATGACGTCGTTCTACTGGGAGACTTCAACTACCCTCGCAACGACTGGGTCAACACGTGCTCGAGTCATGCTGTAGACATGAGATTCCTGCATGAGCTGAAAGGAGAATAAACACGTTTCACCCGCCACCCATGTATGCCCAGGATCATGGCCCATCTGGTGACAGATCTCCCCCCCCCCCCAGCATTTTTAAAAAAGTCTTCTGTAAAACATACATGGGTCTTAAGGCTTTTTAAAACCTATGGTGCTTTTACCGGTCGCAGCCACTAGGTGGCTCCCGCAGCTTTGCAGCATTGCTCCGGGCTTCTTTGCTTTCTTGTCCAGTGAATCGTAGCCGCCAGCCACTCTTTGTAAGGTGGCATGACAGAGATGTGCCCTAGGGGCGGGCATAAAGCAGGGCAGGGCATTGGGCAGTTGCCGCAGGATTGCAGAGTTGGAGTTCAGTGCATTGGGGAACAGCTGGTCAAAGGGTGACCAGTGCAGGTGCAGCTAGGACTGATTCCAGGTTAAAAGCATAAGCGAAGCCATGTTGGATCAGGCCAATGGCCCGTCCAGTCCCAACACTGTGTCACACAGTGGCCAAAGTCCAGGTGCCACAAGGAGGTCCACCAGCGGGGCCAGAACTCCAGAAGCCCTCCCACTCTTGCCCCCCCCCCAGCACCAAGAATACAGGGCGTCACTGCCCCAGACAGAGTGTTCCAGCTATACCTTGTGGCTAAGAGCCACTGATGGACCTCTGCTCCAGATATTTATCCAGTCCCCTCTTGAAGCCGTCCATGCTTGTAGCCGCCACCACTTCCTGTGGCAGTGAATAACACGTGTTAATGACTCTTTGGGTGAAGGAGGACTTCCTTTTATCCGTTCTAACCCGACTGCTCATCAAGTTCAAGGAGTGCCCATGAGTTCTTGTATTGTGAGAAAGGGAGAAAAAGACTTCTTTCTCTGCCTTCTCCGTCCCATGCAGAACTCCTTAACCCTCTATCATGTCACTCCTCGGTGTTTTTTTCTCCAAGATAAAGAGCCCTAACCTCTTTAGCTTTCTTTCATAGGGAAGGTGTTCTATCCCATTAATCATGTCAGTTGCCCTTTTCTGCACCTTTTCCAATGCTAGAATACCTTCTTTTTTAAAGTTTTCGTGGGGGCCTGGGCATAAAGTGTTCGGGGGCCCCCTGTGTCCGTGACTAGACCCCCCTTCTTGCCCACTCACCCACCCCTGTGCCCCCACCTGCCTGTGCATCTTTCCCCTTCCCACTTGCAAGATCTCCCAGTCCCTGCTGTCACAGCCTGCATGCGCTTTCCCTGATGGTGCTGGGTGGTGGCTACAGCTGGTAGTGCCCCTGCCACGGCCTCCAGCAGGCCGCACATGCCTCTGGGAGCACAGGTGAGAAAGCATTCACTCGCAGGCAAGGGAGGGTGTGATTGCAGGCATCGGAGGAGTTGCGTGCAGCAAGGGATGGTGAGATTGCAGGCATTGGAGGAGTTCCGTGAGTAGGGGATGAGCAGCAAGGGAGGGTGTGATTGCAGGCATCGGAGGAGTTGCGTGAGTAGGGGATGAGCAGCAATAGGGGCCCCCAGAAGCCATGGGCCCCAGAAACTGCCCTACCCTGGAATATGCCAACACCGGCCCTGGGTGCAACACGCATAACCTCTTCTACGGCTCATTCACGTAGACACCGAAGGAATGTGAAACTGTTCTTCCACCCTGTCGGAAAGCATCTTGGTAACAGGGCCACATTTTCTTACAAGTCTGTGTTCTTTGTATTAAGTGTCTCTCTGCCCTCCCCCACCCCACCCTACCCTGTGCCTGCAAATTGGCAGGAATTCTAGCGAATACCACTGTTCGTAGACCAAGCTATTTTTATTTTCACTTTCTTTAAAGGTAACTCCTTGATGAAGACGTATTTTCAACAAAAAGGTATCCAAAACACGCCGCTCAAGGAATTGTGTCTGAATGTTACGTGATTGTCACAGAGGACCCTCCTCCCTCCCCCCGATGGTTTTATGGATGTTTCCCTAGTGCAGGGGTCCCCAGCGTGGTGCCCACGGGCGCCATGGCAGTAGCCCACACCTTCTCAAGTGTTTTTAGAAAGTGGGTGGGCCCAAGTGGGGCTTTTGCCCAGCGAGGCTTCTGATTGGCCATGGGGGGTGTTCTTGGCTCAGCAGATCTTTAAAAGCATTGACTTTGGCAGCAGCTGTCACCGCAGCCCAAGGGTCTTCACTGCGTGACTGGAGGTGAGCTGCAGCAGCCATTTTGGGGCCGGGTCTGCCTCCTCCAGCAGCCATTTTGGGGCCAGGTCCGCCTCCTCCAGCAGCCATTTTGGGGCCGGGGCCGCCTCCTCCAGCAGCCATTTTGGGGCCGGGGCCGCCTCCTCCAGCAGCCATTTTGGGGCCGCGCCTGCCACCCTGTACCAGAATCCCAAAGGTGCCCGCAGGCTCCAGAAACATTGGGGGGGCCCCCGCCCTAGCAGTTTAAACCGGTTGGTTTGTCCCCGGCCTTCTAGGACAAGTCGATCTCTACCCGAACCTTGACCAAATCTGGCAGAAGAAACGGGGTAGCCTTCTGTAAACTGGCTGCGCCGGTCTCTCTTTCTCCCAGTTGCCGTATCTGAAGAAGTGAGCCGTGGCTCACGAAAGCTCTTCCCCTGCCTGCCACGAATTGTGTTAGTCTTTAAGGTGCAATTGCGGGCCCCTCGCTCTTTTCTGTTTTCCCCCAGTCTCATTTAAACCCGACAGAACGGTGGCGCTTGAGAACATACTCCAGTGCCAAAAAAAAAATTAATTCTGATTGGATTCCGATGCATGCCAGAGCTACTGTGCGCACGGGGCACCGTTTATCAGGCGGTCAATTCTGTGTGCGAAGGAGCATTTGCGCAGACTGACTCCCCCTGGTGGAGGGGGTGGGGAACTGGTTCTGGGTTGGGAGTTCCCCGCTGCACGTTATGGACTCCCCTACCTGGAAAAGGTAGAATATTGGACCCCACTACCCATGTTCTCTTCTCTTGCACATGACTCCCCCCCCCCAAAGTGTGGTAGGGCCAAAACCAGTTGGAGCAGTGGCAGGGTTCCCCGTCTTAACCCCTAAGGGCCTCCTTTCCCCCCCTCTTGTTTTTGCTTTTCAGGAACGACCACCAAAATCACCACCATCCCCGTGACGTCCAAGCCGAACGTGATCGTTGTGCAAAAGACGACCGGCAAGGGCACCACCATCCAAGGCCTCCCTGGCAAAAACGTGGTCACGACGTTGCTGAACGCCGGGGTAAGTGAGAAGCGGCGGCATCGGGACTGCGGAGTCGGCCCCAGAAGGTGAAGCAGGGTGGAGGGTCAAAGTCGTTAAGGTCCCAATGCCGACGGTGTGGCTGTCGCATCAGATCTGTGTAGGTACGAACACACAAAGCTGCCTTATCCTGCATCAAACCCACGGTCCATCAAAGTCAGTACTGCCTACTTAGACTGAGAGCGGCTCTCTCGGGTCTCAGGTGGGGGTCTTTCACATCACCTCCTGCCTGGTTCTTTTTAATGCTGGGGATGGAACCTGGGACCTTCTGCATGCCAAGCAGATGCTCTACCACTGAGCCACTGAGGTCCTTCACATCGCCTACTGCCTGGTCCTTTTTAACTGGAGATGCCAGGGATTGAACCTGGGACCTTCTGCAGGCCAAGCAGATGTTCTACCACTGAGCCACTGAGGTCCTTCACATCGCCTACTGCCTGATCCTTGTAACTGGAGATGCCAGGGATTGAATCTGGGGCCTTCTCGTGCCCAGCAAATGCTCTACCACTGAGCCATGGCCCGCAGAGCCTCTGCTTGGCATGCAGAAGGTCCCAGGTTCAATCCCCAGCATCCCCAGTTAAAAGAGGACCGGGCAGGAGGGGATGGGAAAGACGTCTCCCTGAGACCCTGCACAGCTGCTGCCAATCTGAGTACACAGTACTGACCCTGATGGACCAGAAGGTCCGATTCAGTATGAGACAATTTCACCTGTTCAAAATATAAACAGTCTCTCGGACGTCACCTGTCTGTCTCGTCCTCAGGGAGAAAAAACGATTCAAGCGGTCCCAGCCGGGGCGAAGCCAGCAATTATCACTGCCACCAGGCCCATTACCAAAATGATCGTCACGCAGCCAAAAGGGATCGGGTCCGCTGTTCAGCCAGCCACCAAAATCATCCCCACCAAAATTGTGTACGGCCAGCAAGGAAAGACGCAGGTAAGCTGAACAAGTTGCTTTAAAAGCCACATTTGGGATGGGGTGGGGGTATCAAAGGTTTCTAAAATAATGCATGGGGTGGAGAGAGCTGACAAAAGCGAACTTTTTTTCCTCTCTCTCCCAGAATACTGGAACTTGAGGGCATCCAATGAAGCTGATGGGCAGTAGGTTCGGGATGGACCTAAGGAAATACCACTTTACACAGGGAGGGATTGAAATGTGGAATTCGCTGCCAGAGGATGTAGTGATGGCCACAGGAATAAACAGCTTTCAAAGGGGGTTAGATAGGTTCATGGAGGATAAGTCTACCAATGACTACTACCCATGGTAGCTGAGGGGAACCTCCATGTTCAGAGGCACTAATCCTCTGAATCCCAGGGCCAGGAGGCAACATCAGGGGGAAGGCCTTGGGCTCTCTAACCTGTTGTTGGTCCTCCAGAGGAACTGGTTGGCCACTGTGAGAGACGGGATGCTGGACTAGATGGACCCTCACTGGTCTGATCCAGCAGGGTTCCTACTGAGGGGAACCTCCACATTCAGAGGCACTAAACCTCTGAATCCCAGAGCCAGGAGGCGACATCAAGGGAAGACCTCAACCTCTATGCCCTGTTGTTGGCCCTCCGGAAGAACTAGTTGGCCACTGGGTGAGACAGGATGCTGGACTAGATGGACCCTCAACTGGACAGATCCAGCAGGGCTCTTCTGATGATCTCATCACGGAAAGGCTTCAGCTTCTATGCCCTCTTGTAGGACCTCCAGAGGAACCGGTTGGCCACTGGGTGAGACAGGGTGCTGGACTAGATGGACCCTCACTGGTCTGATCCAGCAGGGCTCTTCTGAGGTTCCTCTCAGGGGAAGGCCTCGGCCTCTCTGCCCTGTTCTTGGCCCTCCAGAGGAACTGGCTGGCCCTTGTGTGAGACAGGAGGCTGGACTAGATGGACCCTCACTGGACTGATCCAGCAGGGCTCTTCTTAGGTTCTTATCAGGGGAAGGCCTCGGCCTCTCTGCCCTGTTCTTGGCCCTCCAGAGGAACTGGCTGGCCCTTGTGTGAGACAGGAGGCTGGACTAGATGGACCCTCACTGGACTGATCCAGCAGGGCTCTTCTTAGGTTCTTATCAGGGGAAGGCCTCGGCCTCTCTGCCCTGTTCTTGGCCCTCCAGAGGAACTGGCTGGCCCTTGTGTGAGACAGGAGGCTGGACTAGATGGACCCTCACTGGACTGATCCAGCAGGGCTCTTCTTAGGTTCTTATCAGGGGAAGGCCTCGGCCTCTCTGCCCTGTTGTTGGCCCTCCAGGGGAACTGGTTGGCCACTGTGTGAAACAGGATGCTGGACTAGATGGACCACTGGGCTGATCCAGCAGGGCTCTTCTTGTGTTCTTATGACCAGAAGCAGAATAACAATGCAACTGATTCGAATTATTTCCCCGTGTGATGTTTCAGTTCCAAAACGTGTAACTCTTTGGCAGCGCGCAGGCCCCTGTTCCCGTCCTCTCAAAGCTGCCCTGCTCCAGTGAGATCCCTCCCTTGTCTCTCAGGTGCTGATCAAGCCAAAACCGGTGACCTTCCAGGCCACGGTGGTGAGCGAGCAGACGAGGCAGCTGGTCACCGAAACCCTGCAGCAGGCGTCCCGTGTGGTGGAGGCGGGGGCCGCCGCCCTGCCGGACGTGAAGGAAGAGCCCCAGGCGTACACGGACAGCAGCTCCTCCTCCACGGAGTCCTCGCAGGGGTCCCAAGGTGAGACCCTTAAAGGATGCTGTGGGGGTGTGTGTGTCTTTATTTGCTCTGGTTGTACCCCGCCTCTCTCCCCAGCAGGGAACCCAAGCAGCTTCCGTCATTCTCCCGTCCTCCATTTTAAACTCACAACAACCCTGTGAGGTAGGTCAGGCTGGGAGAGGATGACTCGCCCAAGGTCAAATGGAAAAGAGGGCCAACAATTAAAACTTAATATGTAAATAATATGTAAAGATACATGTATCTTGTCGAAGGCTTTCACGGCCGGAGTTCATTAGCTGTTGCAGATTTCCTGCGTTGTATGGCCGTGGTCTTGGCATTGTAGGACCTGACGTTTCGCCAGTTGCTGTAGCCATTGAAATTCGTAAACGTAAACACAATTTCAACAGGAAAGAAGAAAGTTTAAAAATAAACAGGGCATGGTTTCCTGACCTGAAAAACACAAAAGGTTCTACATCTGACAATAGCACAGATAAGATTAGAACCTCCTCAGGAAACAATCCATATACAAAAGAACCTCCTCAGGAAAGCTCCTCCATTACCATGTTCACAGGCTGGGGAACTCCTACAAGATAAGCCCTACCCCACCTTCCTGAGTAGATATAAATTACCTGCCTACCATTCTTCTCACCTTGACACAGAGAGTACTCCATCTTTCTGTGTCATACCTCTGAGGATGCCAGTCACAGCTGCTGGCGAAACGTCAGGTCCTACAATGCCAAGACCACGGCCACACAGCCCAGAAAATCTACAGCAGCTAATACATGTATTTATTCGTAAAGGATTAAAAAAACCGATGTTTCGCCGTCATATGTGTAATATTTATACATAGCGCCTTATAACTGTTTTATGATCTTAGTCTGTTTTTATACTGCCCCGAGCATGCCTTGGTGGGGAGGGCAGGGTATAAATCTAATAAAACAAACAAATAAACATATTGGAGCCAGTGCTCCCTCTAAGCTGTGGAGTCTTGCGAGCAGAAATTAAAAGTTGTGAGCGAGCGATTTGGCTGCTGCATAAATGAGTTTGCTCTGGAGCCATCCTTCCTGAGCTGAGACAAAAAATGTGTGAGCTGGAGGCTAAAAATCTGTGAGCTGGCTCACACTCACTCATCTTAGAGGGAACACTGATAGGGGCCCAATCACACCTCACGTAAGAATTCAAAAACCGTATACACCCAAGGGCCAATGGACTTGACCTGATGCATTCTGGCCTCTTAGGGCCCTCTTCGGAGGTCAGACACAATGCGGAACAAATCGGCTTACAGCACAGTTTGGTGTAGTGGTTAAGTGTGCAGACTCTAATCTGGGAGAACCGGAACAAATCGGCTTACAGCACAGTTTGGTGTAGTGGTTAAGTGCTCTTCGGAGGTCAGACACAATGCGGAACAAATCGGCTTACAGCACAGTTTGGTGTAGTGGTTAAGTGTGCGGACTCTAATCTGGGAGAACCAGGTTTGATTCCCCCACGCCTCCACTTGCAGCTGCTGGATGACCTTGGGTCAGCCACAGTTCTCTCAGAGCTCCCTCAGCCCCACCTACCTCACAGGGAGTCTGTCGTGGGGAGGGGAAGGGAAAGGAGTTTGTAAGCCGCTCTGAGACTCCGAGTGAAGGGCAGGGTATAAATCCAATCTCCTCCTCCTCCTCCACAATGCATAATCCAGTACAATGATATATTGCGTCTATATGATTATGGAATTCTTACATGAGGTGTGATTGCCCCCCCCCCCCGTAAGTTTTTTAATCCTATACAAATGAATACATGTATTTTTACATATTACTGATATTAAGTTTTACTTGTTGGCCCTCTACTCCGCTTGACTTGCCTTTTCAGGTCCTCGATCCTAGTTTTCAGGGCTAAGTTTGTTTCCCTCCTCTGTTCAAAACTTGCCGAAGGTCCACCCGGCCAAGTTTCCCACGGCAGAGTGGGGATTCGAACCTGGGTCTCCAAGATCCTGCTCTGACACTCTAGCCCCTGCGCCACACCGGACTTTGAATGATCCTGCCCGCCTTGATATTCGGGAGAGAGTTCAGGCCCCACTTGGACTGAACAGGTCTTACAAACCTGGATGTTGGCTTGTTCCTGATTTTGGCTTGTGTTGGGGAAAGATGCAGACGCTAGCATGGGGCACGTGTGTGTGTGATTCTCATCAGTTCCCTCTTCCAAGGCGGACTCTGCACACAGTCCCACCCAACTGGCCGCAATTGGGGGAGGGTTGCTAAGTGTGCTTAGTGAACGGCGTGTTCGAAACAGGATCCAAGCCTCTCTGGATGTTAAGCTTAGAGTTACCGAGACTTACTTATTTATATCCCACCTATCTCCCCAATGGGGACCCAAAGCGGCTGCCATCCTTCTCCTCCTGCTGCGTCGCAACTGGTCACGAAGCTCAAGACAAAGCGTCCTCCTGGACTGAATCGAGACCTCAGTTTCCTGTCTCGTTACCAGTGCTGATTTCTCCACGCCCCACTATTCCTCTGCATATCTCCCCTAATCCAATCACGCCTGCTGTTGCCCATTCACCTGCTGTTGCCATTCGCCTGCTAGTGTCACCCGGCATCTGAAATCACTCCACTCTCCAAGGGCAGATGGACTCACATTCCAGCTGTATCTGAAGACGTGAGCCGTGACTCACGAAAGCTCATGCCCTGCCACCAATTTTGTCAGTCTTTTAAGGCTGCTAGACTCTTTCTCTTTTCTACCACAACCCCTGTGAGGCAGGTCAGGCAGAGAGTGTGTGACTGACCCAAGGTCACCCAGCGAGCTTCCGTGGCATGAACGGGATTCGAACCCATTATTACGTTATCATTTAACCTGTGCCTAGAGTTCAGTCTCGTGTTTCATTTGTGATGGTTTACCCTTGTATCGCCCCCCAAGCAGTTTTGGCATTAACATCTAAGCAGACGGGTCGGGTTGGGAGTTAATGTCTGAATTCCTCCCTGGGTGTACTCCCTGTCACACTTTCATCACGCCTTTCGTGGCATAACAGGGAACTCCTCTCTCTTATCGCCCCCATGATCTCGCTTTGAGTTAGGCTAGGGTGAGGGTAATTGGCGTGTTGCAGCTGAGTCGGATTTGGGGGTGTATGACCCTGGGTTTCCCTCAGTTCGGGACTGCGGTGGCTCAAGCGGTTAGGACACTGAACTGCAAACTGGAAGGTCGGTAGTTCGAGACCCAAATGCCACGTGACGGAGTGAGCTCCCGTCTCTAGTTCCAGCTCCTGCCAACCTAGCAGTTCGAAAGCAAGAAATTGCAAGTAGATAAATAGGGACCACTTCAGTGGAAAGGTAACAGCGTTCCGTGCACCTTGGTGTTTAGTCATGCCGGCCACATGACACGGAATCGTCTTCGGCATCCTGTTAAAAAGAGTTTCTGCTGGAAACGTTGCTGTTAGAGGTATGCCTAACGTCACTCCCTGACTTTAAGAACCTCAGAAGAGCCCTGCTGGATCAGACTAGTGAGGGTCCGTCTAGTTCAGCATCCTGTCTCACACAGGGGCCAACCAATGCCTCTGGAGGGCCCAGCAACAGGGTAGAGAGGCCGAGGCCTTCCCCTGATAAGAACCTCAGAAGAGCCCTGCTGGATCAGACCAGTGAGGGTCCATCTAGTCCAGCATCCTGTCTCACACAGGGGCCAACCAGGCCTGTAGCCAGGATTTTGTGGCTTGTGGGGCAATTTTTTTTTTTTTTTTTTGGTGGGGCTGAAGATCCCAGTGCAGAAAGAAAAGCCATTTCACCAATCCAAAACTGTTGCCAGGAAAGATCTCTAAGTTGCAAGCTGTCAATCATTTTAGATGACAGTCCTCAGCTGCTGCAAGTTAATCACTTTTGCCAGCCTAAGAAACAATTCTGATAACAAGCCGGCAGGTGGGGGGTGATGACTTCTATAGTCAAGAAAGCTAACACTTAGGCAGCCAAACTCTCTTAAAAGCAGGGCCAGTAGCCAGGATTTTGTGGCTTGTGGGGCAGGTTTTTTTTTTTTTTTTGGTGGGGCTGAAGTTCCCAGTGCAGAAAGAAAAGCCATTTCGCCAATCGAAAACTGTTGCCAGGAAAGATCTCTAAGTTGCAAGCTGTCAATCATTTTAGATGACAGTCCTCAGCTGCTGCAAGTTAATCACTTTTGCCAGCCTAAGAAACAATTCTGAGAACAAGCCGGCAAGTGGGGGGTGATGACTTCTATAGTCAAGAAAGCTAACACTTAGGCAGCCAAACTCTCTTATAAGCAGACTAGTTTCTTGACACAGCATTAGAAGGGGCTCCTAGAGGTCACCTACTCCAACCCCCTTGCTCAGTGCGGGAATTCGTCAAATACAGCCCCCCACTCTGCTTAAAGGGGCGCACACCTTTGAAAAAAAAGATTGAAAAAAAGCATTTACAGGAGACATTCTTGTGGGGCTGTGCCTTTAAGAAAGGGGGCAACACCCCCAAAAGCCCCACCATAGCTGCGGCCCTGAGGCCAACCAGTTCCTCTGGAAGTCCAACGAACAGGGCTTAGAACCCGAAGCCTTCCCCTGATGTTGCCTCCCGTCTATGGGATCCGGAGGTTGACTGCCTCTGAACGTGGAGGTTCCTTTTCGTCACCGTGGATAGTAGTCACTAATAGACCTCTCCTCCACGGATCTCTCCGATCCCCTTTTAAAGTTATCCCTGTGCCTTTGGCTGGGACTTTTCCTCCGCCCCGAGTCAGAATTCCAAAGGTGCCCAGAGGCTCAGAAAGTTTGGCAGGACCCCCGGTGTATAGCGTTCTCCTTCCAGAGGTTTCCTCTTCCCATCTGTGTAATCTTTGTTTCCCATTAGGCCGTAAGTTTTCGAGGAACATGCTCACTGCTACCACCAGAGAGCGAGCGTGGCGTGAGTATATTCAGACGGCTCCAAATGGGAGGAGCTATGCAAATGCTTATGGACCGGCAAGGCAATATTTATTTTATTATTAGATTAGAATTTTTTTTTGACCGCCCTTCCCAGCTTGTGTGGAGCCCAGAGCGGTTTCGCAGCCATTTAATTCCGCCCAGCGCAAAATAAGTTAAAACCTTAAAAGCTCGAGATTGAAAACATTCAAGCGTTTAAACATTTCAGAACCGTTTGCCAATAGGATGTTCCCACGTGCCTCTCCCTTAAGATATCGATCACACGCAATGATTGCAAGTTCCATACACAACCGCCTCTTTGTTTAACAACCCGGTGACCCCGCAGTCTCGGGCAGAGACAGTGGTGGCGAACCTATGGCACGTGTGCCCGAGGCGGCACTCAGAGCCCTCTCTGTGGCCACGTGTGCCATCGCCCCAGACCGTCATTAAAGTGTGGAATTCTCTGCCAAATAATTTTAAGTCAATGAAAGCATTTGGGATTGCTTTCCTTACTTTGTTTGGATCATCTTAAGTTAATGTATGAGTGGTTTTTTCTAAACTAAAACCTCAGTATTCAGGTTAAATTGCCGTGTTGGCACTTTGCGATTAATAAGTGGGTTTTGGGTCGCAGTTTGGGCACTCGGTCTCTAAAAGGTTCGCCATCACTGGCCTAGGAGAAAGCATTTAGCCCGGCCGAAAGAAAAGCCTTCGGATGCTTGGGGACAGTCAGTTCGTGAAAATAAGGTGGAAGGTTGGGGGAGGGGGGTACCATACACATGGCCATCGTTGTGCATTTGTCGCCTGGCAATACTGGTTGTTTTTGCCTTGTTCTTACCCATGTTTTTAAGAAAAACAAACACTTGGCTAGATCAGAGCATTGAGTCTGCAAGCCAGGAGGTGGGGCCTCCTCGAGGCTGGGCGAGAGACTGAGAGGGTCTGTCTCCCCCCCCCCCCCCCCTCCCAGCCGGTGGTCCACGTCATCGCCTCCCGCAGCCAGGACTGGTCCGAGCACGAGATCGCCGTGGACTCCAGCCCCACCATCATCTACCAGGACGTCTCCAGCGAATCGCAGTCGGCCACCTCGACAATAAAAGCTCTCCTGGAGCTCCAGCAGACGACAGGTGGGTCGATCTCATAAGAACGTAAGAGAAGCCAACGTTGGATCAGGCCAATGGCCCATTCAAGTCCAACACTCTGCCAAACAGTGGCCTGAAATACCAGGTGCCACCAGGAGGTCCAGAAGTGGGGCCAGGATGCTAGAAGCCCTCCCACTGTTGCTCCCCCCCCCCAAGCACCAAGAATACACAGCATCCCTTGTCCCAGACTGAGAGTTCCTATCTAATAAGAACATAAGAGAAGCCAATGTTGGATCAGGCCAGTGGCCCATCCAGTCCAACACTCTGTCACACAGTGGCCAGAAATACCAGGTGCCATCAGGAGGTCCACCAGTGGGGCCAGGACACTAGAAGCCCTCCCACTGTTCCCCCCCCCCCAGCACCAAGAAGACAGAGCATCCCTTGCCCCAGACATAAGAACATAAGAGACACCAATGTTGGATCAGGCCAAAGGCCCATCCAGTCCAACACTCTGTGTTGCCCCCCCAAGCACCAAGAATACAGAGCATCCCTTGCCCCAGACATAACAATATAAGAGACACCAATGTTGGATCAGGCCAAAGGCCCATCCAGTCCAACACTCTGTGTCACACAGTGGCCAGAAATACCAGGTGCCATCAGGAGGTCCAGCAGTGGGGCCAGGACACTAGAACCCCCCCTCCCCAAGCCCCCCCCCCAAGCACCAAGAAGACAGAGCATCACTTGCCCCAGAGCCCCTAGCTATACCTTGTGGCTAATAGCCACTGATGGACCTCTGCTCCATATGCTTATCTAATTCCCTTTTGAAGCCATCCATGCTTGTAGCACCCACCACTTCCTGTGGCAGTGAATTCCAAGTGTTAATCACTCTTTGGGTGAAGAA